AGCTGATTGTGGTAGTGCATGCATGTAATCCCAGTTACTCAGGAGGATGGATCCCTTCAGCCGGGAGCTGTGATCATACCACTTCACTCCAGTCTGGGTGACAGAGTGAGACTCTGACTCAAAATAAATAAATTAAATTTAAAAAGAAAAAAGAAAATGTGGACCAGGACAGGAGTAAGGACAGAAGCAATCAGTCAATTCTGAGAGCATTTCCCATGTGCAATGCACTGTGCCTGCCCAGAAAAGGACATTATCTAATGTATTTCCATCACATTTATGAAAACGGGTCCATTTCAGAGAGTAAAAGAAACAGAGAAGATTAGTGACTGTGCCCATGAATACCATGTGGGAGTAAGAGTCAACTTTCCTGCCATCTACAGCTCTCATCTCTAGGTTTGTCATCTCTCAGAGGAAAGGTAAGGAGATAAAAGTGAAAAGATTGACCCTTCTGATTGGAAAGAGAGATTTTTAGACCTGCAAGGAATCTTGGAAATGATCAAAAGTTTGACAGATCAGAGAGCTCAGGTAACTTGCCAAAATCACAAAGCAAACCTTTGCTCCAGTTGGGACTAAAACCTGGGTTTCTTGAGAATGGCTACAGCTACAGCTTCACTCAGCTACACCTCCAGATAAGTTTGATTCAAAACGGCACTTCAAAGGGAAACATACACGGGACTGATTCTTTTCCATTTGTAAGTCCAGAATATTCTTTCCGTGGTTCTTCCAGGGCTTGGAATGGGAGGACAAGCAATGCCTTCCTCCTGGGCTTCTATGGCGAACTCTTGATTTCCTCTCCTCTCCTTCCTAAGGGATTAGAAGCTCAGCACCTGCTACCCAGCTGTGCCCCTGCCTCCACTGACACTCAAATCTCAGCGAGCTGAGGGTGGCAGGATCTGGGGCCACAGCTGGACAACTTGGCACTCTTAACACATGCCTCATCAGCTATGGGGGATGTGGTGGTGTGCAGTTAGTGGGAGGCTGGCGCTTGCCCATGATTTGAACCCCTGTGCCCATCACTTCATGAATACAGGCTACCTGCTTCAAGTCCACAGCCAGGAGCAACCCTAACTCAGCCTGCCCCAGGAAGGTAGGGCCACACAAACTGCTAAAAAAGAAAAAAAAAGGATAAGAAAAATTCAAAGAGCAAGTCAGTGAAGACCCTTTTGTTGTGGAGAGAACAGCATATATACTGTGGAAGAAGGAATAAGACACTGCATTTTTCTTCTCAGGAAGTGGGTTAACAAGCAAAAAAAAAAATGAAAAAAGAAAGAAAAAGGGAATTACATTTTTTTTTCTGCCAGCGTTTGCTAATAAATAATAATAGTGGCCAAGTGTGGTGGTTCATACCTGTAATCCCTTTGGGAGAACTGCTTGAGCCCAGGAGCGCAAGACCAATCTGGGTCCATCTTTTGTAGTGATGGCTCATCTCTACCAAAAAAAAACCCCAAAACAACCAGGCATGGTGGTGGATACCTGTAATCCCAGCTACTTCAGGAGGCTGAGGTGGGAGGATCGTTGAGTCCAGGAGTTTGAGGCTGCGGTGAGCCGTGATCGTACTATTGCACTCTAGCCTGGGTAACAGAGTGAGACCCTGACAAAAAAAAAAAAGTAATAATTCATAATGATAATGATAGTACTATTGAGCTCATGTGCAGGCACTGTATTAAATACTTTACATGTGTTATATTATTTAACCCTTACAACGTCCCCATGGTTATATTATCCCCATTTTACAAGGTGAGAAAGTTGAGTCATAGGAAAGGTGAGTATCACAAGGCAAACTAGCTAGTAAGTGCCGTGCCTGATTTCCTACAGTAATGAGCATGGCTGCCAGTGCCCACCTGGGAAACAGGCCCCAGAGGATGCAACACCTGAGCCATCTTTCTTTTAGAAAAGAGTCAGAGCCAGGCTCGGTGGCTCAGCCTATAATCCCGTGTCTTTGGGAGGCTGAGGTGAGTGGATTGCCTGAGCCCGCGGGTTCAAGACCCGCCTGGGCAGCGAGACCTCATCTCTACAATAAATCAAAAAATCAGCCGGGCGTGGTAGCGCACGCCTGTAATTCCGGCTACTCGGAAGGCTGAGGCGGAAGGATCGCCGGAGCCCAGCAGGTCGAGGCTGCGGTGGCCGGGAGCGGCCACTGCACTCCAGTCTGGGCGACAGAGTGAGACTCCAACTCAAAAAAAAAAAAAAAAAAAAGAAGAGAGTCAGCCCTTGGCCCAAGATGCCCTACTAGCCTCTGTGCTCCTATACCCCACTGTCTCATCAGGTCAGTCATGCCATCAGGTAAGAGACCAACTTAACCTGATCCTCTCATTTGGCTACTAACTGTGACACCTAAAGGTCTGAGTTCAACTCCCACCACTAAACCTCTGATGAGCAGGTTGGGAGGCCAAGACACAAGGTCCCCACACAAAACTGCCAAGGGAACAAGTGGACTTGGGATTTGCGTCCTGGGCTCCAGGCCACGAGTGTGTCCCTGGGATATGGCACTGGGTTGAATAGAAATTCTTACCACCTTCTGTGGCCCAGGCTCCCATATGCCAAACTCTCCAGTATACGTATCTGCATGGGTCACAAGTTGATGCAGACCCACCAGCAACTTCCCTGAGAGTTCGCTTTTCTGAGATTCCCTGACCTTTCCCGGGATGCCCATGCTTTCCAGTGTGCCCAGCAGGGGGCATCCTTGCCCTTCCTCTGACACCTTGGTGGGGGTGAGATCCACCCAACTGCCTGGGGTGTTCTCCACCCAGCTAGGTCCAGAAGTCCAAGGCTACATTTCCCAAACTGAACATTCATGTGACTTCCCTGCTTTTCTCCATATCCACTCTACTATTATTTAAATAATAATTTTCTTTGTCAATTCCCTTTAAAAAAAAAAAAAACCTAAATGTATTTTTAAAAGAAAAATAAGCACTCTTTAATGAAGGTTTTCTGATCTCCTTGCTGCCTGGATTTCCTGCATTTTTAGGGCTGGCTTTGCAGATGAGGAGGATGTGGGCAGGAGAGTATAGGCCCCCATCAAAGCTACAGTTTGGGTCTCAAGAATGGGCCAGGCAGTGCCATTGCGGGTGGATGGAGGAGGAGATGGGCGAGGCTTTGTTCTGTGGATTCAGAGTATGAGCACGAAAGACCCAGAGTGAAGAGTCCTGAAATCCTTAAATCGAAGAGAGAAGCTCGTCCCTCTCCCTCAGGCTGAGGGAAAGGGGCTTGTCTTTCCAGGCCCAAAGTGGAGAGAGGACGGATGGCTACAGGGCAGACAAGAGGGAGGGACTTGGGTGCTCGGACCAGGGCAGCTGCAGGTGACAGGTGCAGGGGCTTTGGGAAGGAATAGGAATTTCCCTTGCAAAACCCATTCAAACAGACATCGAGGGAACCTGATCCCAGGGAGGGAGCCAGAAGGGGCTACCAGAGGGCCCCCAGAGAGGCTCAAGTCTGGAGGGAGGGAGAGAGCAGAAGTGGGAGACATTGAAGCATTGGGGGAGAGGAGGAAGAGGAGTCTCCTGAGCTGTTTCCAGGAGACTCAGTCAGGCCTTGCTCTAGGCTCCATCCCACTGGCCTTAGAATTGCCCTTCTGGGAATTGTGTTTGTTTGTTTGCTTTGTTTTAAGTCTCACCCTGTTGCCCAGGCTGGAGTACAGTGGCATGCTCACAGCTACTGCAGTCTTAACCTGCTGGGCTCAGGTGGTCCTTCTGCCTCAGCCTTCCAAGTAGTTGAAACATAGGCACGTACCACCACACCCGGCTAATTTTTTTATTTATTGTAGGGATGAGGTCTTACCAAGTTGCCCAGGCTGGTCTCCAACCCCTGGGCTCAGGCAATCCTCCGGCCTCTGCCTCCTGAAATGCTCGATTACGGGCATAAGCCACCATGCCCAGCCTGGAGATTATTTTTATGCTAGGAATCTCTTAGCTCCAGTCCCCCTCTGGGCAGTTTATTCAGTCTTAATTCCTCTGAAGAGCATCCTCCTTCTCCCTTCCTCCCTCCTGCCCTGGCCTAGACATTCAGCAGAGGCAGTTCTAGGACCTGGGTGAGGGTTTCACGGTTGTCAGGCGGTGATACAGAAACTGGTGGAGGTATCCAGGGCAGAAAGTCAGGCCCGAGAGGGGAAGGAAGTCATGCGTAGAGCTCCTTGCCTCCCCAGCTAGGTTAAGAGGACGATAAGAAGAGCAGATTAGGCAAGAGGAAGTGGGCTGAGGCTGAGCTGGGCTGGAACTGAGCTCCCTGAGACAAGAGCAGTGAGAGGGTCATCATGCACCTTAGCAGGCCGGGGCTGAGCATCTCCTGAACTGCTATCATCCAAGTGCTCTCACAGTAGGCCCCTGGTGCTGTGAAGAGGCTTGGCGCCTTGGAGGAGAGCTTAGTGGAGGCCAGGAGCAAAGGCTGCTCAGAGCTATATACTGTGACTGGTCAGTGGGAGCCCAGGCCTCAGCCAGGCCCTCAGGCCAAGAGGGGGGCGAGTCAGGTGGGGCAGGTGAGGAGTGTGATTGCCTCACTTACACCTCATTTTCATGGGGAGGAAACATTGAGAAAGAGGAGCTGGGTGTTTGGCAAACTTTGCTTATTCAAAACACTCAATCCCAGCTGGGCCCTGTCCCCCTCATTCCCCCCCCCCCCCCCCCCCACCTCTATGGTGGTCCCAGCCTCTGGGTCAGTGCTCCCTGCCCTGGACCCTACCTCTGTGGAGGTCATTCCCCTAGTGCACCCCCTCAGTCCAGGCCTGGGCAACCAATACCCCTAGTTGGTTCTTCTCCAGCTCCCCCTCGCCTCCTGGGGTCAAATCTGACCAGGGACTATCCCTGGGACTGAGAAGCCCTGGCTCCAAGGCCCCCAGGCCTCATGACTGCCTCTGGGTTCTGAGCAGCACAGAGAAGGAAGCCCTGAGCAGGAAGTGCTGAGACACAGGGTGGGGGTGGGGGAGGGGGTTTCCAGGAGGCGAGCCCAACCTCCTTGGGCAGGATCAGTGTCCACAGCCCCCCACCGCAGGCAGGGCGGGAGGAGGCTGATTTACAAGGCAGATGGCCTCTGGCTGGAGCCACCCAGGGGGCTATAAGAGCACATAGACTTCCGGAAGGCTCAGGGCGGGTGCCATGTGAGCCCCGCTTGGCTCCCCCTCCTGCCTGGCCTCTTTCCTTCCCTCCTCCTGCCCGCCTGTGTCTGCCCAGCCCTCCAAAGAGGGACGCTTGGCACCATGTCTCTGCTCAACCCTGTCCTGCAGCCCCTCAAGGTGAAGGCCTATTTGAGCCAAGGGGAACGCTTCATCAAATGGGACGATGTAAGTGGGGCAGGGGCCTCAGCTGCTGGGGCATAGGGTGGTGGGGGCCAGGCAGCTGGGGGCTTTGCTAGGGTGGGAGGGTTGGTTTATGTCTCCTAGGACTCAGGCGCTGTATGGTGTGGCCAGGCAGCTGACACAACTGTCCGGATAAACAAACCCAAGGGTGAGGGTGCGTGTCTCTGAGCTGCTGGGCTAAGTCTCTGAGTCTAGGTGTGAGAAGCGGGCGGACTGCCTGGTTGCTTGCCGGGAGTAGTTTCTTTGGGTCTGGTTCTGTCCTCCCTCAAAGCATCCAAGAAGAGCAAGGGTTGTTAATCCTGGCTTCAGCTTGGTGGAAGGAAAGCACCCCAGAGCTGGGGCAGAGTCAGAAGTAGAGGTGGGCTGAATTCTTCTGCAGCACAGATATTGTTTTGCCCCCTCAGGGTGCTCAAACCCAATTCCTTTACCCCTCTCCACAGGGGATGTCCCTGTCCCAGGGAAACTCTGCTCTCCCCTGAGCTGCTGTGGGGGCAGCCAAAAACATCCCCTGGACTCAAGTGAGAATAGGAGGCTTCAGCTCCTGGGGACCTGGGAAGGAACTGATTGACTTCTGCTTCCCTTTGCTGGGTTAGCCTTGCTCCCTGATGCCTGCCTGTCTGTAGGGGGAGGGGAAGGCACTGTTTCACCCTGCATCCCTGTCTCTGATGTGTCTGCTCCTTCCTAAACTGGGACTGCTCCCCAGCTTCTGGTTCTCCTGGACCCTGAAAATGTTGCCATAGGTCAGGGATCCTCTTGGGCTGGGGAGGAAAACAATATGGGGACCTTCCTTCAGGGAAGGGAGGGTGTCGGGCTGGCCTAGCATGAGGAACAGTGCTGGGCTAGTCCCACAAAGAGAAATGAAGGCCTGGTAGGGGAGGAGAGAGGGCCCACAGGGCCGACTTGTTTATCTTATGGGTGGGATAAAGGGAGTTGGGATCTAGGCCCTTCAGGGCTGGGCTGTGCTGGGGAATCTGGTTGCCACAACTATGGGAGGGGTCCTGTGGTGAGCTGCTTCCTGCTTCCCTAAGGAGTGATGTGGTTGGTGTAGCATGGTGGAAGCATGGAGGTGGCATGCCCCAGGAGCCTGGGGAATGAGGGAAGTGGCTCAGAATGAAAAGTGAAGTGGCCTTTCTCAGTTCCTCTGGATAGTGTGTGTAACCAGACTGGTCAGAGGGTCACCAGGGGTGGGTCATGCTATGTAGCCTTCCCCCCAAGCCAGCACCTGTGTACCTGGCTGCTTCCTTCCCCTCCCCAAGATAGGGCATTGCCTGTTCCCTAGATCCTGACTTATACAAGCAAGAATGTCCCAGCCTAGACACAGGGTACATGCACCTGTGACATAAGGCTCTGCTTTCAGACTGCTTTTGGTCCAATTAGCAGATGGCATGGGTACCTTCTACCATGTCAAAAAAGCACAGTGAATAGGATGTAATCAAATCCCAGCTTTATTTAGTCTCCCATGACCCTTTCCCAATATATTTGGTGGGAGAAGCTCTCCTGGCCATGGCAAGCCATAGGACATTCCATTCACTCTTGGGTAACAGACAGTTCAATGGTCACTTTCCATCACAAAACCCAGTCCTATTTCAGAAATTAGTTATAATAAAAACTTCACCCTTGATTTAGATTGACGTTTTCTGCTCTTCTCCCTCTAGGAGTGGTTTCAGGTGGGCTACAGGCGCCCTAGAAAGGGCTTTGGTGAGATTTCCTGCTTCTCCAGCTCCAGGCCCCTGTAGAGATGGGGTGCAGGGAGGGAGGTGGGAAAGGAAGACAAAGATCCTTCTTGAAGAGATGCTTTCTTGAATAGATAGCTCATAAACTGGTTTGTCCTTTCTGAGCCTGGCAGAGGCTGAAAGCGGATTCATTCTCTGGAGGACATTTTTTAGTGTTCTTAGGAGACCCTCCCTCTGAACTGGGCATTTCTTGCTTGGGCCCCCCTGATGTCTCTATTTTAGGTGATCACTCGCAATTACTGCTTCAGTCCCTTGGTACCACCTTCTGCTTCCTGTGGCTTTGAATACTTTGCCCCACTCTCTCCCATGGGCCCACTCTGGACCCCAGCAAATACAAATTCACTGTCCCAAGACATCCCTGGGGTGCAGGCTCACCTACATGCCAGCATCTCCCATGCATGTGCCTTGCATAGAGTCAGCCTGTGGTGGCCCCCTTGCTGCCCTGGGCAGGAATTTGACCTAAATCTGTTATGGCCACAATTACACAGATCACAAAATCTCTCCCAGTAGATTTGAAACCCTGATTAGGCCTGAGTTGGGGGATCAGGCAGCCCAACCCTCCCTCGGGGAAGGAAGGGAATGGAGCTCACAACACAACTTTCTCTAAAATTGGCTTCCTCACAAAACCTCTTTTCCCACACTCTAACCACCCCTGATCTGGAAGCCTTTTTTTCAATCACTTCCTTTGTAAATGCTGCATTTGGTTCATTTTAGCACGCAGTAACAATCATGCCTTATTGAAAACTTTAATTTTATTGTCTTGTTATGTATACCTACAAAGATCAGTAAAATAAAAGGCAGAGGCTAGGCGCGGTGGCTCATGCCTATAATCCCAGCACTTTTGGAGGCCAAGATGAAAGGATTGCCTGAACCTATGGGTTTGAGAACAGCCTGAGCAACTTGGCAAGACTTCATCTCTACAATAAATCAAAAATTAGCTGAGTGTGGTGGCGCATGCCTGTAGTTCCAGCTACTTGGAAGGCTGAGGTGGGAGGATCACCTGAGCCCAGCAGGTTGAGGCTGCGGTGGCCGTGAGCATGCCACTGCCCTCCAGCCTGGGCAACAGGATCAGACTCCAACTCAAAAATAAAAATAACAATAAAAGGTAGCCTATGTGCTCTGTGAGTGAGTGGAACAGGAACTGAGAGGGTGAGTGTATTCATTCGCTTGTTCCCTCATTTAGCAAAGAAACTCAAGCACTAAGCACCAAGCTTGTGGTCTAGCATAGGCCTCTTGCCCTGGAGTCCATGAGTCTCTGGAGATTTCCCAGATGAGCTTCTAAGTCTGTGAAACAACCTCCCCTCCTATTGTTATAGCATTTCAGGAAGGCTTTTTCAGAAGGGGCGAGTCTTGGGCTGGTTTCTCTTAGGCAGAGGAGGTTTAGGTGCTTAGGTTTGGAGGTGGGAAGGAAGGCATGTGGTATCTTTTATGGGACACTCAGATGGATGGGGTGGGGGCATATCCAGAGGGGAGGAGGGAGCGCAGGAAGTTCAGCTACAGGTGGGTTGTACGGGGCCTTGGATGTGGGTACCAGACTTTGGGCTCTCAGCTTTTTTTTTTTTTTTTTTTTTGAGTTGGAGTCTCACTCTGTCGCCCAGACTGGAGTGCAGTGGCCACTCCCGGCCACCACAGCCTTGACCTGCTGGGCTCCGGCGATCCTTCCGCCTCAGCCTTCCGAGTAGCCGGAATTACAGGTGTGCGCTACCACGCCCAGCTAATCTTTTGATTTATTGTAGAGATGAGGTCTCGCCTGCCCAGGAGGGTCTCAAACCCCTAGGCTCAGGCAATTCACTCACCTCAGCCTCCCAAAGGCGCGGGATTACAGGCTGAGCCACCGAGCCCGGCTGGGGCTCTCAGCTTTTACAGTGTCAGTCTCTCCTGGGTGGCAGCAGGGAGTCTTGGGGATAGTCTTCTATCTCTTTGGCCTAGTCACGAACCTTGAGAACAGGGTGAGGTGGGAGCTGTGACCATGTTTGGAGTCTAGAGGAAGAACTTCTGTTTGGGCTTTGGTGGGGAGACCTCTTCTCTTCCAGAAATGGTATCCTTTATTCTCTATCCATCCCTTAGCTCTAGAGAACAAAGGGAAATGCCTTCAGATTCCTGGGATGGGCACCTCCTAGGAAGATGTTGAGTTCCAAAACCCCTGGCCTGTGCCGGGGAAGCTTGGCCTGAGATCTCAGAACAGAGAGCTGGCCCCTTCTCTCTGCAGGAAACTACAATGGCCTCCCCTGTTATTCTTCGTGTGGATTCCAAGGGCTATTATTTATACTGGACATACCAGAGTAAGGTGAGAAAGCCCCTACCTCCCATGGCCCTGGCCTCCTGCTTATCCACTGAGGTCAAGCAGCCTCCTGAAAGTGCCAGCATGGAGGCATGGATGCTGGGAAGTAGAGAATGCCCTGGGATGGTGACTCTGGGAGCTCTCCTGTCTGTAAGGGCTGTTTGTTCTGGAAGGCAGGATGTGGCCACTCCAACCCATGGCTGCCCAAATGTTCCAGCCTTACCATCCCTTTGGGAGAGAGAGAAAAGAAAAAGAGCTGCTGATGATGGCTAGTGCTCAGAGAGATTGGAGAAAGCCCTCAGCAGTTGGGCAGAAGACAGGGAAGGGGAATCTGGGGAGGATCTAGATGGCGGAGACACTGCAGGCCACAGCTCCTGTGCCAGACAGGAATAGGCAGAGGGAAAGGGAGGAGGTCCCCATGAGTAGGGAGAACCTGGCTTGTGGGAAGGGAAGGTTGGGGTCTAGGTGGCCCCAGGCGGTCTTGGCATCTAGAGAGGCAGTTGGTGAAGATTTGAAGGGGTATGGAAGCTCCCTTCTCCCTGTTCCTAATTCTTGACCTGGCCCTTTTTTCCTACCTCCCCCCTTTGCTCCCACTGGGAACCCTTCTCCAGGAGATGGAGTTTCTGGATATCACCAACATCCGAGACACTCGCTTTGGGAAGTTTGCCAAGATGCCCAAGGTAGGTGATCCCATTAGGAACTCATGCCCATTAGAACCCATGCTTAGGAACTAGTTTCATGGAGGCAGGGGCAGGAGTTCCTACAGTGGTGGGAAGCCTGACCTCTGGAGTGAGGGAAATGGGCTGAGAAAGAGGACCCTGGCCCCAAGGAAGAGGTTTGGCTGCTTCTGGGCTTCAGAACTGGGCACAGTGAGCTGAGATAGCAAGGATCTGGCTCCTGCCCCTAGAGCACCCAGACTGTCTGGGAGGTGTGGCTTACACTCCCACCCCCTGACTGATTTGCCTATATTTGTCTAATGCTGGTATGAGGATTGGAGGAAGGGATTATAGGGAAGCAGCATTCCCTGAGACTGGGAGCTAAGACTCCATCTTCAAAGAAAAGTGGCAAACAAAACATACAGGCTCCCCAGGCCCCACCATCTTGGTCAATCTCTTCCTGCAGGTCTCTCTTTCCACCCTAGCCACTGGAGTCAGGAATAGGAAGATTCTAGGGCCTGTAGTTCCTAGGATGGAGAAGGGCTTCTGCCCCTGTGGGCCATAGTCGAAGTGACCAAGGGGGAGGAACAGGGAGAGCCATGTTGGGCAGGCAGGAGAGCACACCACGATCCTAACCATGTCATCACCTGCTGCAGAGCCAGAAGCTCCGGGATGTTTTCAACATGGACTTTCCTGACAACAACTTCCTGCTGAAGACACTCACGGTGGTGTCTGGCCCCGACATGGTGGACCTCACCTTCCACAACTTTGTCTCCTACAAAGAGAACGTGGGCAAGGTGCACCAGGGAACACCTGGCCTGGGTCTTGACACCTGGGATAGCGTGAACTTCCTGAGAGACATAGGCCTGGGCTGTGGGGCTGTCAGGGGCTTGACCGCTGTGCTCTGTGGTCCTGCAGGTCTGGGCTGAGGATGTACTGGCCCTGGCCAAGCACCCGCTGGCCACCAATGCCCCCCGCAGCACCTTCCTGGACAAGATGTAAGTGCCTGCCTGCCTGCCTACCCTTAACTCTGGGGGCAAAGCGTGCCAGTCCTAGTGCCTTGACAGGCTGTTTTTTGTACCCACCCCCCCAGCTTAGTGAAGCTCAAGATGCAACTCAACCCTGAAGGGAAGATTCCGGTGAAGAAGTGAGTCTCCCCAACTGCCCCCACACTTCCACCCAGCTCCCCAAAGCCTTCCTTCTCCAGACCTGACTTCTCCTGGCACCTTTCTCTGCTCTTTCAGTTTTTTCCAGATGTTTCCTGCTGATCGTAAGCGGGTGGAAGCTGCTCTCAGTGCCTGCCATCTTCCAAAAGGCAAGGTGAGTGGAGCCCCACCCCCCAGTCCACCCCCAGTACTCTTGCTCCCAGGAGAAAACAACTTGGCCAGGAATGTGGCTGGGGAGCAGAGATGATATCACAGTCCCATCAAGAGCCCAGAGAATCAACCCACCCTGGAGCTGCTGGTTACTGACACTAGGTCAGGGCAAAGGAGTGAGATGCTGGGCTCAGAGCAGGTCGGTCTGCACCCCCTGCCCTGGGTGGTGGGGGGGTCAGGGTTGTGGTTGGTGGACTGTGTTCTGGGCAAGCTGCAGAAATGGTATGCATTCCCCTCTAGCCTTGGGAATGGAAGCCGAGTGTGAATGTTTTCAGGCTGGAGGAACGAGATAAGGTTGGCAGTGGCAGGAGGCAGTCTGCAGGGATCTGGAAGTCTGTGGGGTGTCAGGGGAGAGGGAGGGAACCAAGGGTGGAAGCTGCCAGGATGCAGACTTCAGATTAGTGCAGAAAGCATTTTTTCCTCTCTTTTTAGTTAAGTAATTTATTTTTAATTACAAGTTGTAAGCAGGGTCATCCCATGAGATGCCTTATGTGAATTACAAAAAGGAGCCCTCTGGGCAGATATGGCCATGAACCAAAGTTACAGCCTGGCCAAGGGAGTGGATGTCACTCAGGTCCCCTGTACCCACTTGGCCAGTATCCATGTATAGGTCCCGACATGTACCCCACAGAGTATTTTCTTCTAGTAAGAATTTGGGACATTATTATTATTATTATTATTTGAGTTGGAGTCTCACTCGGTCACCCAGACTGGAGTGCAGTGGCCGCTCCCGGCCACCGCAGCCTCACCTGCTGGGCTCCGGCAATCCTTCCACCTCAGCCTTCCGAGTAGCTGGAATTACAGGTGTGCGCTACCACGCCCAGCTGATTTTTTTTTTTTTTGATTTATTGTAGAGATGAGGTCTCGCTGCCCAGGTGGGTCTTGAACCCGTGGGCTCAGGCAATCCACTCACCTCAGCCTCCCAAAGGCGCGGGATTACAGGCTGAGCCACCGAGCCTGGCTGGGACATTATTAATAAATAAAACATAGACTCGCACCGATCACCTGTCCACATGGATCCCAGGAGGAACATTTGCCCCTTAGTTACAGCTCTGGGGAGTTGGCAAGTGCCTGATGCAAAGTCAGTCACAGGGGATCCAAGTGTGGGGTGGAGGATGGGGAAGAATGGGTTCCTGTTTCGAACCTTACAGCCAGGCTGCTTGCTGATGTCAATACAAATCCACCCTCTTTTTCTCCTGTTCTCCCACCCCCGACCCCCTGCAGCTCCCACCTTGACTAAGTCTTCCTTATTTATGTTCTTTCCTTGTGTCCCATAGAAGCTACTGATCCAGCTTTGCTTGGGAGCTGCAGCTCCAGGGCAGGGATGTGTTTGGGCTATCCAGTCAGACTCCCCTGCTCAGGCCCTCTGCTCTCCTGTTAAGACTGACATTAGCCTTCCAGCATGATCCTGAAAGACATTTAGCAGGTTTTGGAGTGGGGGGAATAAGAAACATAAAGGGACAGAATCCATGAATACTACTAATCTATTTTCTGCTTCTAATTTTATGGATTTGCCTATTCTGGTCATTTAAAGTCAATAGAATGATATAACATGTGGTCTTGATGTCAAGCTTTTTTTGAGTTGGAGTCTCACTCTGTCACCCAGGCTGGAGTGCAGTGGCACGTTCCCGACCACTGTAGCCTCAACCTGCTGGGCTCTGGTGAGCCTTCCACCTCGGCCTTCCAAGTAGCCGGAACTATAGGCGCACTACCACGCCCAGCTAATTTTTGATTTATTGTAGAGACGAGGTCTCACTAAGTTGCCTGGGTGGGTCAAACCTGTGGGCTCGGGCAATCCACTCCCCTCAGCCTCCCAAAGTGCTGGGATTACATGTAGCATGTATTAATACTTTATTTTTATTGTCAAATAAGTTTCCATTGTATGAATATACAACAGTTAATGGACATTTGGGTTTTTCCCACTTTTTGGCTATGAACATCTATGTACATGATTCTGTATGGACATGCTTTTAATTCTCTTGGGTATATACGTAGGTGTGGAATTGTTGGGTCATATGGTCACTCTATATTTAACATTTTGGGAAATTGCTAAACTGTTTTCCAAAGTGACTGCACCATTTTAAAACCCCACTAGCATTGTATGGGGTTCCAATTTCTTCACATCCCACCAGCATTTGTTATTGTCTGATTGTCTTTTTTTTTTTTTAGCCATCCTAGTGGGAGTGAAGTGGTATCTCATTGTGGCTTTGATTTACATTTCCCTAATCACTAAGGATACTGGGCACTTTTTTTTTTTTTTTCTTTTTGAGACAGGCTCTTGCTCTGTCCTCTAGGCTGGAATGCAGTGGCATAATCATAGCTCATTGCAGCCTTGAACTTCTGGGCTCAAGTGATCCTCCCATCTCAGTCTCATACCATGTAGGCACACACCACAACACCTGGCTAATTTTTTTTTTTGTAAAGATGGGGTCTCATTATATTGCCCAGGCTGATCTTGAACTCCAATTTCACCCTCCCAAAGTGCTGGGATTACTACGATGAGTGTCTTTTTATTGTTATAGTTTATCAGATATCTGATTTGCAGATATTTTATTCCACCCTGTGAGTTGTCTTCTCACTTTTTTTAAGGTGTCCTTTGAAGCACAAAAGTTTTTAATTTTGATAAAGTTTAATTTATCTTATTTTGCTCATTGTGCTTTTGGTATCTCCAATTGTTATTGTTTAATTGTCTATTCATCCCTTCAGTTCTGTCAGTTTTTGCTTCTTGTATTTTGGAATTCTGTTGTTAGGTGCATATGTGTTTATATTCAAATGCTTCTTTTTGAAAATTTGTCCTCCACTTTGGGAAAAAAAAAAAAAGACAGTTTAATGCCCTGGTAAGAAACATCACTTACTTCTGACCTCTTTTTGCCTCATTCTGGTTATTCTGAGTTCCAATCCTGCCTCAGCCAATGAACTAATCACTGTCCAAAATCAGAGTGAAAGTAAGCCAGCTAAGCATGTTCTCTGCTCAGCAAACAGGGTCTTGAGAAGTGGGTGCCCAGAGTGTCCTTGATGCTTCTCTATCTTTCTTGAACATTCCTTCTGACCAAATCCCATTGCCCAGGGCTGGTCTTAATTTGAGGTTCTTAGTTCTGAGAAAGTGAGAGCAGAGGTGATAAGGTGACTATTCCCCCAGAATGATGCCATCAATCCTGAAGACTTCCCAGAAACCGTCTACAAGAGTTTCCTCATGAACCTCTGTGCCCGGCCAGAAATAGATGAGATCTTCACTTCCTAGTGAGCTTCTTGGGTTGGGCTGGGCATGGGGAAAGGATGGTGGCTAGCAATCTTCTCCCACCTACTATGTGGGAGTCAGGAGGCTTCACTGGAGAAGGGGGTTGTTCAAGCCTCCAAGGGACATGGACCTGGGCTCCTCTCTCTGGTCTGCAGTCATTCTAAGGCCAAACCCTACATGACTAAGGAGCACCTGACCAAATTCATCAACCAGAAACAGCGGGACTCCCGACTGAACTCCCTGTTGTTCCCGCCAGCCCGGCCTGACCAGGTGCAGGGCCTCATTGACAAGTATGAGCCCAGTGGCATCAACGTGCAGAGGGGTGAGGATTAAGGGAAACCCTCATTCTACCCCCCATGGTCCTGCTGTACCCTGGCAGCTGGGCTGCAGCCCTGACAGCTACCCTCTGTTCCCCAGGCCAGCTGTCACCCGAGGGCATGGTTTGGTTTCTCTGTGGGCCAGAGAACAGCGTGCTGGCCCAGGACAAGCTGCTGCTCCACCACGACATGACACAGCCACTCAATCATTATTTCATCAATTCCTCTCACAATACTTACCTGACAGGTGGGCCCTGGCAACCTCATTGCTGACCTCTGCTGTCACAGAGGCTGCGCCTGTTCCCTGAGTCCTTTGCAGGGGTTGTGCACAAGCTAATGGCTCTGCCAATAGCACAGACCATGCTGGAGTGGGGTAGGGGAGAGCTGTACTGCCCTTGGGTGATGCCCCCACTCCTTCCTCCTCCTCCGGTCCAGCTGGCCAGTTCTCAGGCCTTTCCTCGGCTGAGATGTACCGCCAGGTGCTGCTGTCTGGCTGCCGTTGTGTGGAGCTAGACTGCTGGAAAGGGAAGCCCCCTGATGAGGAGCCCATTATCACCCACGGCTTCACCATGACCACAGACATCTTTTTCAAGGTGAGACTCGGGGCATGGAGGCTGGCAGCAGTGGTCGTAGGCTAGAGCCCTGGGCCAGAAGCTTTTTGGGGTTGGAGGACCTGATGTGGGGACTAGAGGGGACAGGGGTCAAACAGTGGCCACCCCGTTCTATGTGTGTATTGAAACTGGGAGGTGAGAAAGGCACCATCAGGGGAGGGGCAGTCAGAGCATTGACCTTCTGTCCATGGAGTCCCCTTCTCTTCCAGGAAGCAATCGAGGCTATTGCAGAAAGTGCTTTTAAGACCTCCCCCTATCCCGTCATCCTGTCGTTTGAGAATCACGTGGACTCGTGTGTATCCAGGGCCATTCAGCCGCATTCTCCATTCTCACCCATTCCCTAGTCCCCAGCCTGCAACTGCCCTCACCACAACTGCCCCAGCCTCTAGCCGTCCCCTCCGGCTCTCTCCCAGGTCTCAACACAATCTCCCTGGGACCCCATATTTTCCTGCCTGTGTCCCTGCTTCCCTGGCCTCCTGGACCCCTGATCTGGGTCATCAAGTGTACAAAAAGATGAACCAGAGGGGTGGGGCTGAGCTGCTGAACCCCATTTCTGCTCCCTGCAGACCCCGCCAACAGGCTAAGATGGCTGAGTATTGCCGGACGATCTTTGGGGATATGCTGCTCACAGAGCCCCTGGAAAAGTTCCCAGTGAGTAATTTTTTTTATTTTTTGTAAAGATGGGGTCTTGCTATGTTTCCCAGGCTGACCATGAACTCCTGGCCTTAAGGGATCCTTCAACCTCTGTTGCCCAAAGTGCTGGGATGACAATGGGTGTCTTTTTATTGTTATCTCTTATCAGATAGCTGATTTGCAAATATTTTATCCCATTTCTGTGGGACATTTGGGCCTGGGACTTGGGGACCTGGGGCAGGGTGGGGATAAGGTTAGGGATGGGGGGCGCTGCCGAGGCTCACTTTGTTGGGTTGTGGGACTGGGATCCCGTCACCTACCATGTGTCAGGCACTGTGCTGGGCTTTGGGGTTTGTTAGAGACAAAGATACAATCTCTGTCCTCAGGTTTGTTATGCTCTACTGAGGAGATAGACAAGTAACCAGGCCTTTACAACCCACTGGTTGTTATGGAAGTACCTGGGGAGTTCTGATCTGGTCTTGGGGGATCAGGGAAGGCTTCCTGGAGGAAGTGATGGCTAAGCTGAAACCTGAGGGATATGTTGCATTTCTTAGTGAGAATGGGAATGGGGGGAGTCATGAGAGGTGTAGGTGGAGGCAGAGGGAGCACACTGGTATTAAGGAACCTAGGCTCTGAAGGTGAGGAGAGGATGCCGACCCTCTTCCCTCTCCACAGCTGAATCCAGGAGTCCCCCTACCCAGCCCTGAGGATCTCAAGGGCAAAATCCTCATCAAGAACAAGAAGAATCAGTTTTCTGGCCCGGCAGCCACCAGTAAGGAAGCTGTCGGGGAGGCTGAGGGCAGCTGCACCCTCAGTGCCCCTGCAGGCGAGGACACAGGTGAATCGGGAGGACTGAGGTAGGGGTGGTGGGAGCACCTGGAAAAGACAGGGCTGGGCCTCAAGGAGTCAGTGCCAACAGAGCTGTGTGTGTCAGTGTGGGCTGGCGAGGAAGGGACTGAGCTGGAGGAGGAGGAGGTGGAAGAGGAAGAGGAGGAGGAGTCGGGAAGCCTGGATGAAGAAGAGATTAAGAAGATGCAGTCAGATGAGGTGTGTGGGGGAGTCGCGAGGCCCTTCTGCCATCCCTCAGGTGGGGGTGGGGAGCCATGTTCATGGGCTCTGTGCTGTCTTCCTCCACCCTCCTCTTTCCTTCCTAGGGCACAGCGGGCCTGGAGGTGACGGCTTACGAGGAGATGTCCAGCCTAGTCAATTACATCCAGCCCACCAAGTTCATCTCCTTTGAGTTCTCTGCCCGTAAGTTAGCATGAGTGGTGGTGGTGGTGAGTTAGGTAAGATTCAGGGACAGGTTGTCCTGAGACAGGAGCGGCTTGGTGGGTGACCAAGAGGGAGGAGGGATCTCCCCCTTCCTTGGACTTAGGGCCCTGTCTATAAATACCCAGCCGAGGAGACTTGCTTAAGTGGCAGTGGCTCCCAGTTTCTGTACTGAGGAACTTGGCACCAAACAGGATGCTCTGGAGAATGTCCATGACAGGATGGCCTGGGGCTCCTGCAGGTTTCATGGCTCCCAGGGCTGACCTGTGCCTTGGGCTGGCCCAAGCCCAGAAGCCCTGGCTCTAGGAGATGAGACTTTCTGGGAGGAAGGCAGAGAAGGCTGCCAGTGTACACTGCCTGCTTGAAGGCTTCCCCTTTTGTGCACACCCCCGCTATTCATCTTCTGTGGACACCACATTGTATGTTTCCCTCACTCTCTGTCGACTCCTGTGCACAGCTGGACTTCTGCAGCATCCCTGTGGGTTCATCCCTGAACCCACAGCCTGCATCCCTACCAGGCACTCCCTTGGCATGTACTACCCTTAGTGTACCCGGTCCCCTCATGCACTCAGCCTCAGCTTGCACACTTCATTTCCTGTGCACATCACAGCACATGCTCACACTCTGCATGTGCACTGCATGTTACTCACCCCCTGGACTCGGCCTAGCACATTTACCACATTCTTTGGCATATGGCATATGGCTCTCACTCTCCAGAACCATGGGACACACTCGACCTTATGTGTATCCACTGTAACTACCCTTTACTCCCCACAGGCACTGTTATCCACAAATTTCCTCAGAAGTTGGCCTCTAAACCCTCAGTTCTCAGTGGAAATGTGGGGTTGGAGGCACCTCCATGCTGGACAGAGCTGCCCCAAAGAGGAGGTCAGGGCTGAGGGAGAGGGCAGCCTGATGGAGATCTCCTCTTTCTCCCCGATACAGAGAAGAACCGAAGTTATGTCATCTCCTCCTTCACGGAGCTCAAGGCTTATGACCTGCTCTCCAAGGCCTCAGTGCAGTTTGTGGAGTATCCTTGAGGCTTCAGTGGCCACAGTCTCCCGCTGGGGTGGGAGGCTAGGGGAAGGTCTGGGGGCAGGGCTCCCAGGCCTGTCGGGTCCTTCTGGTACACGCAGCCTCGGACTGGGCTCCTATACTCAGGCGCAGCTACAACAAGCGCCAGATGAGCCGCATTTACCCCAAGGGAACCCGCATGGACTCCTCCAACTACATGCCCCAGATGTTCTGGAATGCTGGATGCCAGATGGTTGCCCTCAATTTCCAGACAATGGGTGAGGGCACTTCAGGGCCTCTAAAAATCCTCCCCTGGTCCCTGCCCCTCCCACCTTCACCCCATCTTTGGGGGGAGGGCCTTTAGAACAGACTGGGGTGTCCCATTGTTTGTTTAGGCTCTGGAGCATGCCCAGGCGTGTGAGCATTTAGGGGTATAAATGCATGAGCTCCTGCCTATGTGACTGTGCATATATGAATATGTATGTGACGATGCCAAGGTGCAGGCATGAGTGCTGGCCACCTGCCTGAGTGTGTCTGTGGGAACACCTGCTCCACTGCCCCCACTCCCACTGTGAGCTTTTGGCCCCGTCTTGGCTTTGCTCCTAGCCGACTCTAGGTTGTGGACCCTTCCCGAGAGATGAGGCACCCCAAGGAACCAGGCTGGCACCTGAGAAACCCTCACCCTCACAGCTCATCCAACCTCCTCATTTGCCAGAAAAGAAAGGCTGGGAAATGTAGGAAATAGAGGCCGGGCACAGACTCAAGGCCAGGCCTTCCTCACTGAGCACCCTCCTTGTGCCTCCAGACCTGCCCATGCAGCAGAACATGGCGCTGTTTGAGTTCAATGGGCAGACGGGCTACCTCCTGAAACACGAGTTCATGCGCCGGCCGGACAAGCAGTTCAACCCTTTCTCAGTGGACCGCATCGACGTGGTGGTAGCCACCACCCTTTCCATTACGGCAAGGCCCGGGGGCAGACAAGTGGCTGGGAGGGCTGGGGTCTTAAGGAGAAGGGCACAGGAGCCCACCACTCCACTCCCAACCCCCTCCCCTGATATCCTGAAAACTTCAGCCCTAGCCAGTTCGTGCAGTAGCAAGTTGCCTTGGAAACTGCCTCCTCCTCAGCACTGGAGGCTGCCACTTGGTCCCCATGGAAACCAGCAGGAAGGGCTGAGGCTGGGGTGGGGGAGGGGAAGAAGAGTGGGCAGAGTGGGCCAGCAGGAGCCCCAGGCCTGGGGGAGGGCGTGGTTCCCTCCTTGGCTGGGGAGGGAGGTGGGAGGCCTACCTCTTCTCTTCATTCTGGAAGCACCTTGGTCCTTGAGCCACACAGCCTCCACTTGGGGTCAGAGCTGATTGGGGATCTTCACAACATCCAAAACAGAGGCTTTGGCTACAGGGAGCCAGGGACCTCAGGTGCTTGGAGAAGAACCTGGGTGGGGGATCTGATGCTGGCCTCCCACCCCCAGGTGATCTCTGGGCAGTTCCTATCAGAACGCAGTGTGCGCACCTGTGTGGAAGTGGAGTTGTTTGGCCTTCCTGGGGACCCCAAGAGGCGCTATCGTACCAAGCTGTCACCTAGCACCAACTCTATCAATCCTGTCTGGAAGGAGGAGCCCTTTGTCTTTGAGAAGGTAGGGGGCAGAGCAGGGGCTGGGGTCTGTCCCTAGTTCTTGACCTCTGCTTACAGATAAGAGGAAATAAACACTCCTTGATCTTCTTCCTCCTCCCCCACCCCCTCGCCCTATGCCCACTTAAGTTTCAAGGGCTCAAAGCCCCAGTTGTCAGAAGTGTACTTGGTAGGCAGGGTGTGTGCATATGGGTATGCCAGTGCATGTCCGTGTTAGGGTTAGAAGCAGAAATGTGAACTTCCAGCCCAGAATTGAGGGTCCCATGGGATCATGGGGGTCTTTTGTCCCCATTGGATACCTGTTGGTAAGGCTGCCAAGGGCTGTCTGCACCAGGTCCCCACAGCCCTGGGCTGCATAGCCAACACTGCTCCCTCGGGAGAGACCAGCCATGGCATGAGCTGTGAGATGTCTGTATGTGGCCTAGAGTGTGCCCTCTGTCTGTCCTCACCAATCTGGTAACACCCACCATGTTCTCACACTGATGCTAAGACTTCTGGAGCCAGGGAGGGGGACAGCTCGGCTCCCCTGTCCCCTCCCTGGCCTGTCCCATGTCACACTCTCCCCAGATCTTGATGCCTGAGCTGGCCTCCCTCAGGGTGGTTGTGATGGAAGAAGGCAACAAATTTCTTGGACACCGAATCATCCCCATTAATGCCCTGAATTCTGGTAAGAAGAGGGTTCTTCTTCATTGGTTCCCAGGGGGGCTTAGATCAAGGCAGGAGCCTGTCGAGGGGGTGGGACAGCTTCCGGGAGGGGGGCCTTCCCTAACCCCCTCTTATTGTGAGTTCTAAGGAGTGGGGAGGGATTAGTGCTTCTCCAGTAACCTTACAGAGGTGGAAACTTGGCCCACCTGACAGAATGTAATTTTCTGACATTAGGAAACTGAGGCAGTTTCCTACGTAGCTTACCCTTATGGGCACTTAAAATGTGCTTAAGAGCTGATAACACATTCTCGCTTAATCCTCACAATAACCACCCAAGGTGGACTTCTTATCCCCACATCATAGATGAGGAAAGTCTCAGAGAGTTAAAGTAACCTACTCAAAGTCACATAGCTGGGATGGTGCAAAGCCCTGGAGTCCAGGGCTGTGTGCGCACCATGCTGGGCAGGAATGGGCTCTGGCTCACTGTCCATGCCATCATGTCTGACAGGGTACCATCATCTGTGCCTGCACAGCGAGAGCAACATGCCCCTCACGATGCCTGCGCTCTTCGTCTTCCTGGAGATGAAGGACTATGTACCCGACACCTGGGCAGGTAGGAGCCCCTGGCAGGCCAGGAGCCTCAGGCTGTCAACTCCCCCTTTCCCTCATCAAGCCAGCCTCCGGGATGGGGCAGGACAGAGCATCCTGGAGTGGGCAAGGATAAGGAGGCTTCCGGGCATGTCTCCACACACACCCAATGGGTAATGCCTTGTGCACCTAGATCTCACTGTGGCTCTTGCCAACCCCATCAAGTTCTTCAATGCCCACGACAAGAAGTCTGTGAAGCTCAAGGAAGCCATGGGAGGTCCCCCTGAGGTTTGTGCTGCCTGGACCACTGCCAGGGGCCTCAGGGATCTTTGCCCTCTTGGTGGGAGGATGGAGATGAGGATGGGGATGGGGAGGGGGCAGCGTCCCAGGCTCCGGGAGAGACAGTTTCCTTAGAGCCATTTCCCTAACCTCCGCTCCCCACACAGAAGCCCTTCCCACTCAGCAGTCCAGTCACCAGCCAGGTCAATGGGGCATCGGCTCCAACGAGCAATGGATCGGCAGGTATGCACTTGGAGATCCACTACCTACTGGAAGGGCCAGCATCCATAGGCGCATCCTAGCCTGGCGGCAGCTCTTCAAAACACTAAAACCTAGGGAGCTGTGTCTGAAACCACAGTGCTGGCAAAGCGCGCTGCAGGGGGTTCACGCTGCGACTCCCAAGGGGCAGGGTGGGGGAGGGGGCAAACTGAGCCAAGAGGCCCCCAGGGCACCTGCCAGCCCGTCCTATGGCTCTTGCAGCAGCCGGGGCCAGGGCCAGAGAGGAGGCCATAAGAGAAGCCGCGGGTAAGGCCTGCTGAGCCCGGGTGATCTGAGCTTGGCGAGGGTCCGAGGGTGGCGGAAGGGGGTCACCGGAGGCGGGCAGGGCCGGCAGGGTGGCCCGCCTCACCCGGGCCTCCGCAGAGCCGCGGACCGCCAGCCTGGAGGAGCTTCGGGAGCTGAAGGGCGTCGCGAAGCTGCAGCGGCGGCACGAGAAGGAG